TGCTTTTAAGGAGCAGGTTTGCGGTCTATTAAAATCAGGAAACCGCGCTGCCAAAAATAACCCGGCTGCGGAGGGGAGGGTGCGGAGGAGGGGGGAGGGGAGAGGGGCCGCCTCGGGGCCGCCCGCGCTGCTCGGCGCGCGGGCGCGGGTTCACCAGGGACGTTCCTGGGGAGAACGACTCACCGCACCTCGGCCGTGAAGACGCACGCAGGTGCTGCACGTGTGTGTTTTAACCATTAACTCCTGGCTTCCCATCTCCAAATGCTGCCTTTCTCCGCCCTGAGGAGAGAGAAGTGCTTTTTGGAGCCTTGCGTGGAGCAAATCATGTCCTTGCTCCGGATTCAGACCCACAAATCCGCGGTTAAGCCGCGCCTCCGGGGCCTGCGGGGTGCCAGGATCCCAGCCCAGCGCCGCTGCCGGCTGCAGGTCTCAGTGCTCATCCGCAAAGTGGGACGAACACCCACACCCACCCCTTAGAGTCGCTGGAGGAGGTCCGGCTCAGGAATGCGGCGCAGGAGGAGCAAATACTGCTCCATGGAAACCCGTGTGCAGGGCACAACGTTCCCCCGTGGGCTGCTTGCCTTCCCGGGGTACCTGGGCCCTTGCTTTCTGGCCTCAGGAAAGCCAGCTGGCTAAGGAGGTACCTAAGAGCACAGGTTTGCTCTCCCAGTGGTACCCTGGGCACCTTGTGAGGCGGTTTCACCTCTCCGCCCATCTCTGCCCTGACGGGCGCGAGAAGGACTCGGAGGCCCCACGGATGTCAAGCCCGGCCGCCCTGCCTTGGTTTCTGGGTCAGAGGCGATGGTGGATGGGTTAGTGTCAAAGTGAAGAGGGCCCTCAGTAAGTCTCTGGGTGGTCTTCTCCACCTGACTGTCAGGCGAGTCCCACGGAGCGGGAGCGTTTGGTGAGATGCATGTGGAATGCAAACATTTGCACATCTGGCCCCATTCCAAAAGGCCTCTCCATCCCTGCACATCTTCCCCAGACCTCCTTAACCCGAATCCTGCAAACCCATGCCTTCTACGTCCCTGATTATCTGTATAGACAACTATGTCAGCTGACTCTCCTTCCCAGTAAAGCAGATTACCAAGCCCATTGCTTGAAAATGGCACACTGGGTACAAGTCCCTTCCCCACCGTCTACCGGGGCCAGTCGAGTAGGGCTGTGATGCCATCAGTCTTTTTCCAGCCAGTGCCAGCTTAGCATGGTTACAGCAGGCTCTACGTTTTATTTGTCCACCAGCTTGTTTTAGGGACCCCCCCTCCCGTAAGACCAAAGATGCGAGCTGGGGCCCTGGAGCGGGTGCTCCCGGGAAAGCCACCTGCTCCTGCAGCTTTGGAGGTTTAGCGTGTTTAGGAGAGCAACTTCGGATTGGTCTGCGGCGGCCACCGTAACAAAATCCCACAGGTGGGGGCGGGGCTGTTTAACAACTGAAACAGTTTCTTACGGTTCTGGAGGCTGGAGGTCAGAGGTCAGACGCCGCCGGCAGGGCTGGTTTCCGAGTCCTCGCTCCTGAGGACGAGTGTCGGCTCAGCGGCAGCGTTAGTGACGCCCTGAGGTCGAACATGTTCCTCTCCCTGGGGCTCTGTATGGGGAGTGTGGCTGCAGGCCCTTTTCAGAACGGCTAGGAAGAAAGTTTAAAAAAAAAAACTTGTGGGGGAGGGAGGAGGGTACAGCTCAGTGGCAGAGCCGGTGCTTAGCATGCACCAGGTCCTGGGTTCAATCCCCACTACCTCCTCCAAAAGTAAATAACCGAATAAACCTGACTACCTCCCCCATCCAAAATATTTTTTTTAATCTTAGAAAAAATAAAAGGTTCTGCTCATCAAAAGACACTGGTTAGAAAATAAATAGGTGAGACAGAGCAATTAGAAAATGCTTGCAGTGCACATGTTTAACAGGGAGCTGGCGTGTAGATAAGACAAAGGATTGTGCAACCCAGTAGTAGCAGCGCAGGGGAGGGGATAGCTCAAACAAACGGCAGAGCCCACGCTTAGCGAGCATGAGGTCCTGGGTTCAGTTCTCAGCACCTCCTCTAAACGTAAAGGAAGAGGTAAATCTAATGAACGCCCCCAAAGAAACAAAAACACAAAACAGTAACAACAATACTAATAAAAGAGCAAACAAGTTAATAAAAATATCATCAGACAGCAGCATATCCCACGGCACTGACGATGGCCTGGAGAGGATCGCGGGGATGCCGGACTTGCCACAATTGTTGGCGAGAGTGGAAAGGTTTCCACCAGTTTCTTAAAAAGTTAGATGTGCATCTACCTCATGACCCAATTTTTAAGTATTTACTCAAGAGCATTTAAAATGTCTGTTCTCCAAAGCACGTTCAGCTTTAGTCACAACAGTGAACGGCGACGCTCAGCCCTGGTCCGCGCACAGGACAGAAGCCCAGCTCGCTGTGCTCCCGCGGTGGGGCCCGCCTCTGCAGTGCAAGGTAGGAGCTGGCACATGGGCAGATACCGTCCGCTGGGCGAGGAGGAGACTCCGGAGATGGAGAGTGCTGGGCTCAGCCGCACGGAGCGCAGAGCATCCCCGCACTGCGATGGGGACCAGGCCCGGCACCTAAGAAAGGCCAAGGGGGAATCACCAAGATGATGGAGGCATCCTGTAACTCGTCGGGACCGTGGGTTACACGCGAGACGGCCTTTGTCAAAGCTGACCCACTGCACACGGATGCACACATTCCCTGCTTGTGAAATGTACTGCAGCAAAAATTTTAAAAGCAAGACTCCAATCAATACATATCATGTTACTTCACTCATGTGATACCTTACGTAGACTCTGGTTTCTCCACAGATCATGTAAATCCTTCCCCTTTTACAATACGTCACACAAAATTCAAGACTAAGCCTAAGTAAGTGTTGTCCAGGTACCTAGGGGAATGACAGCGTAGAGGAGAGCAGGGAAGTGCGCACTTTCAGAATCAGGACAGTGGTTGCCTTTGGGGGGGTGTGGGGAGTGGGGGGGAGCCTGTAGAGGGCTTCCGGGTCCCCCGCGTTCTCTTCGGACTTGGGTGGTGGCCACATGGGTATTTACCCGATAATTATTTAAGCCGTACTTGGATGATCTATAGTCTTTTCCATATTACATTAAATAGGCCAATTATTTGGAATGCCAGTGGAAAACCAGAACCTTCCACATTAGCAGAGAATCGCCAGAACGGAGGGAAGTTTAGAAGTAGCCCCATCACCTCGTTTCCCAGACGTGGAGCCCTGACTGACCTCCAGCGCGGAGTACATCATGGCGCTCCTGAGTCCCAGGCCAGGGGCTTAAATGCAGGAAGGACTGATTTCTTGTCGTGAAGAATTAACTTGCTGAAATCTGTTAGCCTAAATGCCAGTGTCTTTAATTTTTTATTTTATTTTATTTATTTTTTAATTGAAGTACAGTCAATTACAATGTGTCAATTTCTGGTGTGCAGCGCAATGTCCCAGTCATGCATATACACACATATATTCATTTTCATATTCCTTTTCATTAAAGGTCATTACGAGATATTGAATATAGGTCCCTGTGTTACACAGAAGAAATTTTTAATCTATTTCTCCATAAAGTGCTTAACATTTGCAAACCTTAAACTCCCAGGTTTATCCCTTCCCGCCTGCTTTCCCCTGGTACCTATAGGATTGTTTACTACGTCTGAGAGTCTGTTTCTGTTTTGTAGATGAGTTCATTAGTGTCTCCTTTTGTTCTTTTTTTAGATTCCACATATGAGTAACATCATATGGCATTTTTCTTTCTCTGTCTGGCTCAGTTCACTTAGAATGACGATCCCCAGGTCCATCCATGTTGCTGCAGATGGCATCGGTTTGTTCCTCTTTGTGGCTGAGTAGTATTCCGTTGTATAAATATATAGCACAGCCTTTTTAAAATGAGAACCATGCCATCTGGGAGAAGCGTCTGGGACC